CCAGCGCCCCGGGCCAGCCCCCGGCCCAGCGGCGCCGGATTTTCCTGGACATGTTTGGCTTTTTGGGATTTCCCCCCGGACGGGGATTTGAATCCCAAAAAGCCGGACATGTCCGGGAAAATCCGGACGTATGGTAACCCTACCTAAACCAGATAAGAAGGAGCTCGTGCCCATCTATTGAAGGCAGAGGTGATTGCTGTTTGTTTCAATTATACACATGTACCCAGAGGCTGTGTCCATAGACAGATCCTGTTCTCGCTGGAGTCAATGGTCTCCTGAGGGAGCAAGACTGGAATAAATCTACATCATGTTCTGCTGAAAGGGGCTAGCAGTGAATCTTGTATCTAAAGACAATCCCAGACCTCGCTAAAACTTATGTTTGTGGCAAGCATAGTTTTCGGCCCAACAGAAGAAACAATCAAGACCCTTTAGGTAGCAGAGACAGCTGCAAACATGGAAGCTACCGCCCAAGGCGCTAGACCACATGGTAGGTCAGAGCTAAGTTGTATGGGCTGAGGGGTTTCCCTGGTTGCAAACACAGGTGCTAGGATGTTGGTTGCTGCCTGTGTGGGTTGGAAAAAACAGCCAGGAGTGTGAGTGTGACCTTGAGGTGAAGCAGAGTGTCTAAGCTTCTTGGGCACAGAGCTCGCTGGAGGCGCAGGCATGGGGATTTCTGAGGAAGGAAATTGTCTGCTGCTGTTTGTTTCTATGGTCAGAGAAACAGCACTCCGTAGACATTTTTTGGAAATAAACAAGATAACACCAAGAATATACCTGGCTCGTATAATCGATTCCTCAGCCTAGATAATTCTGAAAGGCCCCTGGCACTAACTAACCACTCAGGCTGAAGGAGCAACCATAACATGTGAGAAGCCATGAGGCTTTCACCCACCACACTCCTCCCAGACTTACCGGACACCGTGACTATGATATACTGCTGCGGGGCTGGTGTTGGAGTTTGTTGGCCCGTGGCCTGAGCCTGCGGCTGTGGGGCCTGGATTTCCGAGACATACTGTTTCTGAGTGGCTGGTTGTTGCTGCGTGCTTTGCAATTCCGCTACATACTGTTGCTGGGCTGCTGCCGGTGCCGCCGTTGTCGCCGTCGCCGCCGGCTGTTGCTGCGCCTGTTGCTGTTGTGACTGTTGCTGAGCTGCCTGTAATTCCGTAACGTACGCCTGTGTTGCCATGCCAACAGTGGGGAAAATGATAATAAATAAGGCTTTTTTTTTTTTGCTTCCTTTTGTTGAGAAAAAAAAGAGGAAAAAACAAAATAAAAAAAAGAAAGAAAAAAAAAACAATTAATCAATTGTAAAGCGATCCGGGGATAGAAACAGCTCCCTGCTGTTCTATTCGTTAAGCAATAACTTAATTACACCCCATGGTTAATAACTAATTACAGTCAATTACAGCAGGAAAAAGCAGTAGCAGCATTCATCTTTCTCTGCAGAAACAGGCCTGGAAAAGTAACGGTTCTGGAGAAACTTGTTCAGAACCAATCCCCACACTATGACTGGATGCAATTTACGAAGCTGCGTCAATTATCTTTCCCAGATCCCCACCACTACAACATACTCTTTTTAACTGTACTGAAATTAAAGATCAGCCTGCCTCTGCGCTCGTTTCCACTGAGGGAAATCCGCAGTAACTCCACCAAAGCCAATTGGCATGAGGGAGAGGAGAAGCAGGCCCTTAAGATGGCATTTTTGGTAGTGGCCTTGGATTGTGGGTGCCCAACTTGAGATGTCTTGGGCAGAGGTGCTGAGTGCCTGCATCTCCAAATGAAACGGGGATTTTGGAAACTGCATTCATTTCCACATAACAAACAATCAAGCTTCAGCTTGATGGATCAACTTCAACCCCGGGGCAACTCTCCTCTTACACCAGGGCTGGATTTGGTCCAGCACCTGGGAAAGGAGAGCTTTGCACTCAGACGTGAAACCCGCTTGACCAGATTCTGCAAATCAGTGACACTGATGTAAATACACAGATTCACATCAACGGAGCAGAATTTCGTCTCCAGGCCTGCTGGAGGTTCTGACAGCATCACCAGCTCACCCCTTCTGAGGCTGTCCTGTGCGGTTCACTGTGTTGGAGATTCATGGATAAAATTGAAATAAAACAAGGTCCCATCAGCTCCTTCGGATATGGAAACATCCCAGGACACTTTTCAAAAGAGTAAGGCAGGGCTTTCTCTCTCATTCATGGCCAAAATTTCCCTTCTTTTTGCTGTTGTGCACCTACTGATTGCCCCTCTACGCCCCAGAAGTGACTGCATTTCACTGGTGGTATATGTTGAAGGGTTTACGAGAAGCTTTGCAGTGAAAAGTGCTATGCAAAAGTCAAATATTATTAGAAATCTGAAGGTCTGAAGCAGGCCGGATCATCAGAAGGGTGCCAGGCCTCAGATATATTAGAGAAGGAGAGCGCTCACTCGTACACCTGACACACACCACACTTACTGTTACTGAGCATGTTCATGTTACAAGAGAGCCCATGGCGGTAGAGTCCAGTCTACAATAATCCCTTGACACTCCCAAGCCTTGGACTGAGGAGCTCAAAGCAATTTACAAGCATTTGTTAAGTAGGCATCTCACAGCCTCTGGGAGATGCTAGTGAAGTGGGTAAACTGAGGCACAGAGCGAGGAAGTGACTCTTCCCAAGCACACACAAATGAGTCAGTGGCAGATCCAGATTTCTTTTCACCTGATCCCTTACTCTACCCACTAGACCACAGTGCCTTCTAGCCTCGTAGAACCTCACCACCCGACTGCCAGCTTTAGTGTGATCTAACGGTTAGAGCAGGAGCCTGGAAGTCAGAGCTCCTGGGTCCCACTCTCCAATCACTGATTGATTAATATTTGTAAAGTGAGTTGAGATCCTCAGAGGGGAAGTGCTTTGAAGAAGGGCATGAAGAAACTCCACTCAGCTTTGCATAGACCAATCCATTTCCCGCACTGCTAAAGATAAGGACAGACGCTCAGGCAGCAGCATTTCTGGTGTGTGTGCTCCTACGCCAGGGTCTCCGAGCGGGACGTAATAAGAATCATGTGCTGTAAGCAGCAGTCAAGGCCATCAGTTGCTTCTCACAGACTCCAGAGTTAGAGGAGTCATGACTGCCTAGAGTCTGCCCTGAAGCTTTCCGACAACAGTTTTCATTTGTCACTCTGTTCTGCCAAAGCTCCCACCCCAGAGCCATTCTGGGGCTGCCTGTTTGCCCTTGGTGTGCTTCCCAGCGCCATGCCTCCCAGCTCTCCCTGTCCCTTCCACCTCGCTGGCTCTCAGAGCCCACAGAGCTACCACAGCCTTTTATTTTGCTCAGCAGTAACGCAAGGAATCTACAGGCCCATATCCTGTAAGACACTGGCTCAAGCAGGTTAGCATAAGTAAAGCAGGCCCATGACCCTTAGCACTGATAAAATGGCCTGACAGTTACCCTAGATTTTGGGGAACTGGGAACAGCTTGCTCAAGAGAGGGAGCTGGTTCATAACGAAGGAACACGGAGCTGAGCCTGGGCGTGGGTATTTTAGGGTAGAATCGTTGGCAGATGTTTAACCACGAACTTGCTTTAGCAATAGGCGATGTCTACGATAATGAGCTAAAAAACATTAATATCTTAACCTATAGGATAAGGGCACCCTGATATTCTGGGGGGGGGGGGGGGGGGAGCTGGATCTGGACATGGAAGGCTGGGCATCTGAATAAATATTCATGATAGGGCCCAGGCCCTACAATAGGCCAAGCCCGCATGTAGCAGGGGCTGGGTTTCCATCAGTGACCCCTCAGCTTTTCATTGTTATCTACCACCAACCTTTGGGTGTGAGGGTTCTGGACCATCGGACTCATTGGGCATGCCAGGGGCAGGGCTGATCCTTTGTCTCTCACCGCCAGGTCCCCAAGGAAGGGTGTGAGTAGATACACACACACACACCCCTACCTCTAAAGCTGCTGGTGATTCAGACTGCTGCCACAATCACAGCTGGGAGAGATGGCCAGGGCCGGCGTTAGGGAGTAGCAAGCAGGGCAGTTGTCTGGGACCCCATGCTGCAGGGGCCCCCGCAAAGCTACATTGCTCAGGCTTCAGCTTTAGCCCCGGGTGACAGGGCTCAGGGCCCCGGGCTTCAGCCCCATGTGGTGGGGCTTTGGCTTTCTACCCTGGGCCCCAGCAAGTCTAATGCTGGCCCTGCTTGGCGGACCCCTGAAACCTGCTCGCGGCCCCCCAGGGGCCCCCGGACTCCTGGTTGAGAACCACTGGCTTAGAGGTCTAAGCATCAGGTAGGAGAGAACTACTGTCTAGAGCAGGGGTCAGCAACCTTTCAGAAGTGCTGTGCCGAGTCTTCATTTATTCACTCTGATTTAAGGTTTTGCGTGCCAGTCATAGATTGTAATGTTTTTAGAAGGTTTCTTTCTATACGTCTATAATATAGAACTAAACTATTGTTGTATGTAAAGTAAATTAGATTTTTAAAATGTTTAAGAAACGTCATTTAAAATTAAATTAAAATGCAGAGCCCCCCCCGGACCGGTGGCCAGGACCCGGGCAGTGTGAGTGCCACTGAAAATCAGCTCGCATGCCGCCTTCGGCACACGTGCCATAGGTTGCCTACACCTGGCCTAGAGCCCCTGGAAGGAGGAGTTCTAGTTCTTAAAGCAGACCTTTGAGCTGGTTCTATTCCCTGCTCTGAGAGGTATGTGTGATCTAAGAGTCAAGACATCTGGATTCTATGCCCATTTCTGTGACCTTGAGAAAGCCATCCCCCGTGCCTCAGTTTCCCAATATGTAAAATAGGGATAAGGATAGTAACCTCCTGTGGGTTTACCTAGTTAATATCTGCAAATCTCACTGACGATGTGAAGAGCTTCTCACCCAATGAAAAGACCTCTTTTTTCTGACATTACTAAGGCTAGGTCTACGCTACGGGGGGGGAGTCGAACTAAGATATGCAACTTCAGCTACGTGAATAGCGTAGCTGAAGTTGCGTATTTTACGTCGACTTACCTGGCTGTGAGGACGGCGGCGAGTTGACAGCTGCCGCGCCGCCGTCGACTCCGCTTCCACCTCTTGCCGCGGTGGATTTCTGGAGTCGACGGCAGAGCCATCGGGGATCGATTTTATCACGTCTTCACTAGACGCGATAAGTCGATCCCCAATAGATCGATTGCTACCCGCCGATCCGGCGGGTAGTGAAGACATGCCCTAAGTGTCCCCTATGGGTCATTTGCAGCCATGGGCACATGTGGTTAGCCAGGCATTTCCCACATGCCAACAGCACTGCGAGAGCCAGGATCAGGATCGCTTTCTGGCAGGCAGGGAGGCCACAGCATGTGCAAAGCCGCCGTGCTCAGCTTAAGGCACAAGGCACAATCCACATTCCAAAGGTTCCTGTGCCCTTGGTCACTCCTTTAGGAACATGCCAAGCTTGGAAATAACCTGTCTGTTTTTAGATCCATTCCCCACCCCCAGAATGAATCACAGCAAACAAATACAGGGCCTGATTCTCCGAGATGCTGAAGAGCCTGCATTTCCACATGGGTGCAAGGCCCCTTCTGAGGCCCAGGCCTGGGGCAAGTTCCTGGCTCCAGCCACTTGCTGATTCTTCTAATGCTGCAGAGCAAGAGGGCCAATCTCTCAAAGCAGGCACATAAAACCTTCTGAAAGGGCCTCCGGACTGCATTAACCTGTCCTCCTCCCTCCTCCCCCAGAGCAAAGGAACGCTCAGGGCTACTGAATGCCCCAATCAGAGGCTACATCTCACAGGTCTTCACCAACAGAGGCTGCTAAGATCTTTGGATGGTGCTTTTTGTAGTCTAACAATATGCTATGGAAGCTTCCTCTACGCAAGATGCTGAATGCAAACGGCAGACAGCTGGGAGACTCAGTGACCACTTGGAATGAGAGAGAGACATTCCAATCCAGCGGCAAGGTGTTGGGGGAACTGGCTGGTTCGGGGGTCACCTCTCGGCTGCTGGTCCCAGTCTACATTAGGGTGACCAGATAGCAAGTGTGAAAAATCAGGGCAGGGGGTGGGGGGTAATAAGAGCCTATATAAGAAAAAGACCCCAACATTGGGTCTGTCCCTATAAAATCGGGACATCTGGTCACCCTAGTCTACATTGGTAATTTGATAGTGACCAAAAGATGCCAGCACCTAGAGTTACTTTAGTGACCCATGTAAAATGAGTTGGGAAGTGGTCACGGGCCAATTCCTAGTGACCACCTTAGGGGCTTGTCCACATTCTAGTTCCTACTGGGTTGGGGTAACAGCACAGGACAGGTGGCTTTTGCACGGTAGACAGGATTGGAGTGTGTTTAAGCAATGATCCTGAATTGTGCTGCACATCATGGTTTAATCTCACAGATTCACACAAATAGGCTGGCAGGGATCTCAAGAGAGACATTAAATCCAGCCCCCTAGAGTATCCCTGACTGTCTAACCTGTTCCTAAAAACCTCCAATGATGGGGATTCCACCACCTGCCTTGGAAGCCTGTTCCTGTCCTTTGCTATCCGTATAGTTAGAAAGCTTTTCCTAACATCTATCCCAAACCTCCCGTGCTGCAAATGAAGCCAATTCCTTCTAGTCCTACCTTCAGTGGCCATGGAGAACAATTGCTCACCATTCTCTTTATAACAACCCTGAACATATCTGAAACTGCTATCAGGTCCCCCCCTCCGTCGACCTTTCCAAGACTAAACATGTCCAGTTTTTTATTTTGTCCTGATAGGTCAGATTTTCTAAACCTTCCATCATTTTTGTTGCTCTCCTGTGGACTCTCTCCAGTTTGTCCACATCTTTCTTAAAGTGTGACTCCCAGAACTGGACACAGAAGTTCAGCTGAGGCCTCACCAGTGACGGGCAGAGTGGGACAACTACCTCGTGTCTTATATATGGCACTTGTGTTAATACACCCCAGAATTATATTATATTAAGAATATATTATATATATTAACCTTTTTTGCAACTGCATCACATTGTTGACTCATATTTCAACTTGTGATCCACTATAACCCCCAGACCGTTTTCAGCTATATTACCACCTAGCCATTTAGTCCGCATTTGATTTTTCCTTCCTAAGTGCAGTACTTTGCACTTGTCTTTACTGAATTTCATCTTGTTGATTTCAGACCAATTCTCTAATTTGTCAAGGTCATTTTGAATTCTAATCCTGTCCTCCCAAGTGCTTGCAATCTCTCCCATCTTGGTGTCATCTGCAAATTTGATAAGTATACACACCACTCCATTACCCAGGTCATTAGTGAAAATATTGAATAGTACCGGACTCCAGACAGACCTGTGCCAGGTCCCACTAGATACTTCGTACCCGTTTGACAACAAACCATTGATAACTACTCGTTGAGTACAGTTTGTCAACCAGCTATGCACCCACGTTATGCTAATTTCATCTAGATCACATTTCTCCAGTTTGCTTATGAGACTGTCATGTGGGACTGTGTCAGAAGCCACACTAAAATCCAGATGTATCATGTCTACTGCATCCGCTAGCCCAGTAACGCTGCCACAGAAGGAAATTAGGTTGGTTTGGCATGATTTGTTCTTGACAAATACATGCTGACTATTACCTCTAACCCTATTGTCCTCTAGGTGCTTACAAACTGATTATTAAATAATTTGTTCCACTATCTTCCCAAGCATCGACGTTAGGCTGACTGGTCTATAATTCCCCAGGTCCTCTTTGTCCTTTTTAAAGACAGGTATTATGTTTGCCCTTCTCCACTCCTCTGGGACCTCCCCCGTCCTCCAGGAGTTCTCGAAGATCATTGCTAATGGTTCCGAGATTGCTGCAGCTAGTTCCTTAAGCATCAGGCCCTGATGACTTGAATACTTCTAATTTATCTAAACATTCTCATCTACCCTGCAAGCCTGAACCAGGCTGCTATCGTATCTGGGGACAACGGTGCTGTGAACGAGTTCCCCCAGCATGTTAGGATTTACAGTGGGATCTAGCTGACTGTCTTGGCTAATGCTTGAATGGGCCATACTTGCCTCTTACCCCAGAGTGGGTCCCTCCGAGGCTGGAGGAGGGGTACATGCCCAGGGGAAGCTTGCCTTGTCATTGTTCTGCAGAGCCATCTCAATCCAACACCTTTCATCAGCATGAAATTCACCAAGGTTTGAAGGTTAAAAACTCTTACACAATGAGCTCAAATAACAATAACGATCTCATGTTCCTGTAGAGCCTTTTCCTTCTAAAGAACCCCAGGGAGCATGTTACACATTGGCATTATCACTAAAATGCAGCCATCTCTGGGGGGGAATGTGGCAGCTGTTTAACAGTACACAGCAAGCATACAGTTTAGGACAGGGAGCGAAGAAGAAGCCCATATCCAGCTGAAACTACAGAAGCAAAATGGAATCACCTGAGTTGGAATTTGGCCAGGAACCTCAGGTTAACAGCCTGAGTCTTGTGATTAAATGTCCTATTTCACAATGTGTAGGACTCAGTCTGGAAGTGCTTTATGTGGGTCTGTAAGCACACAAAGATGCTCGAGAAGACCCATGTCCGCTGCACAAAGGAGGGGACCACAACAGCAAAGACCCCAGTGGCTGCCAACTGTGCAGTACTGAGCTACTGCTTGAGAACCTGAAGGTGAAATTGGTGAGGAAATAAAAGTGAAACTGACCAAATTCAGCCTTGGACCCAGCATAAATAGTGAGAAGTGAATCTGATTTGTAAAATCTTTTCATTTTATAAATTGAAGGTGTCAGGAGTAACACAGATAATGATAATTACTACTATTCTGTACTTCTCTAACACTGTCTATTGCAAACATTTATGAATTAAATTTCTTAATGCTTTTGGGAGGTGGGTATCATTATGTTCATCTTTCAGAGAGGGAAACTGAGGCACAGAGCGGTTAATATGGTTTACCTGAAGTCAAAGAGGAAGCCTCTCATATAGCTAGAAATGGAATCCAGAACTCCTAACTCCCAGTCCAGTACTTTAATCACAAAACTACTCTTCCTTTCAAAGAAAGGCAGGAACACCTTTCAAAACATATGCTCTTTAACCTGAGCGTGTCCCTTTATTTGTGTTAATTTTAGTGTTTAATGACACAAAGTGTCCACTCACACCAGCTCCACTGGCCCTTTAAACGACAGATTTGTCTCACCAAGGATCAAAGCAACAGACTATTCTGCCTAGCTTGTCTCTTTTTCTCACGCACTTTGTTCTCCAGTTAGATCCTGTGAACAGCACCCTCCCCTCCACACGCATGAGACAAAATGATAGAATCTCTTCACAGAACATGTGATTTGCTTAACGCTGGCTGGGGCCAGACTGATACAAAAGGGCATCGATGACAAGAATGAATTAAAACTCTCCAGGCTTTTGGAATGACAAATTTACAACCAAGATCCCTGATTAGAGGGCGTGATCCTGTAAGATGCTCAACTCCCTCTGGCTTGCTCAGCACCTCGCAAGGTTATATCCTGTATCCTGACTTTTGCAACATAAGAGCCTCCTCTTCCTTCTCACTCAACCTAAACTGAGCAACGTCCATACAACTCCTAGTAGCTAGTCCCCCCAAGCCTCCTCTCTATGTATAACAACATCTCATTCCTCCCCGTTTTGCCTATCCCCTTGCAATTTATTTGTGAAATGCCCAGCAGGAGATCAAGGGGAAAGTCACACAAAGGACCCACAGCCACAGACCAAGATAAACGCAGCATCATAATAAAGTTATGAAACAGTAATGCGAACCACAGGAAAATATATAGAAGGTGCAAATCCAGCCTCTACTGAACATTTAAAGCCAGGGAATGGGTAATTTAGAGCCAGGGAGAAGGTAATTTCCCTGGCGAATGGTCCCCATCCCTAATTTTCCTGAATTGCTCCAATTTTGTTGACAGGATTCAATTTACTGAGGACATTCATGGGTCTGGAAATTGTTTCCAAGACCTGGGAAATGTGATTGTGCTGTGTCTGCTCTGTGGTATTTTGATGCTATGTTGTCATCTCCCACTGCCACAGTGTGACAACACAATGACACTTTGACACACTGTCACAACGACATTTTGCACAAGCATGAGCAGCGGCAGCTTTGATGCCATTTTGACACAATACTGATGTGTCACCCACAGCGTGATGGTGTTTTGAGACATCAGCGTGCTGCCTTGTGATGACATTTCGAAGACACTGTCACCGCCCGTCACTTTTTGACTCCACACGACGGCCATCGGGTTAAGACATGAAGTTTTCAACATATCATCACCTCTTGTGGCCCAACGCTGCTCTGAGGCAAGACCTGCTTTTGCCAGGGCGAGTTTGACATCATACAATGAGATTATAATGCATCGTCTGTGCATGCGATGCTGACAGTTTGACATCATAGTGTATTTGAGTACCTCACCACCACTACATGGTGCAACGAGGCTCTGATGCCACACTTGGGCATTTTGAAACCTGTGGCACTGGAATAACGTCTTGACGTTTTAAGGCCTCCCCGTGCTGGGCCGACGCGAGGCTGTATCCTAAGGCATCGTCACGGCGCCGTCGCAGCACGCTGACCTGGCCACGGCTCATCATGACGTCATCACACCACATCAGCGGGGCAGGGCTCCCGGGGCGACCCTGGCGGGGGGCCGGGGCGCGCTGGCATTTTAACGCCTCGGGCCGGCCCCCGGACCGCTTGGCCTTATGACGTCACCGCATGACATCACGGCACCGGACACTGCCGCATGCGTTATGACATCACGGAGGGAGCCCCGCCCCACCTTGGCAACCCACCCTAGTGTTGGGGGCAGGGGGGCGCCCCATGTTTGGCCCCTCCCCCCTCCCCGGTCCCCATTGGTGGCCCCCGCTGCCCCGCTTCTTCTCATTGGCCCGTCCGCCCACCAATCACCGGGGAGCGCTGTACGCCCCGCCCACCGGGCCTGGGCCCTTCTTAATCCCGGGGCAACGGCCAGGCCCTCACTCGAGCGAGGGCGGCGCCTTCCTCTGGCGCGAGCCGCCTCGAGCCTCCGAGTCATCGACTGTCTCGCGCCCTCCCCCCCCCCTTTTCCTCTCAGGGGCGCGGCCCCCCTCCCCCGCAGCCATTTTGTGAGGCGGGGGAATTAGAGTCGGACCCACCTGAACTGTCCCGCCCCGCGGCCCGGTCCCGGAGCCCCGCGGAGGCCGCTTCGCTTCAGGGTCCGACGCGCCGGGGCCGGGTGGAGCCGCCGGTCATCGGCCGCGGCGGTGCCGGATTTTGGGAGGGTATCGATTAGTCGGTGGGGGGGGGAGGGGGTCCGCTCGGGGCGGTTGTTGTTGTTGTTGCCGGGTTTCCTGGTCGCCACGACTACCGTGGCTATGGCGCCCTCCGTGTTCCCTCACCGGGGCAACTGTTGCTACCCACCTCGGCGGCGGGCGGGGCCGAAGGGGGAGAGAGGGCGGCCCCTGGGCTGATTGGACGGAGCTGGCCGCCGCATTGGCTACCCTGGCTGTCAATCTGCACCCTGCTCGCTCTGGTTGGTTGCAGGCCGTGCTACTCATTCAACGTCCCGCTTCCTATTCTGGTTGTAATTGGTCTGATTCGCTTGGCGTGTGCTGATTGGTTCCTCGCCACGTCCGTCTCCACGTTGATTGGGCAGTTCCTCCGTCGGTCTCGGGGTGGGGCGGGGGGGGTTGAGGAGGCGGGTTGGGATTGGCCTGTCAGGGCGTTGGCGGGTTGCGATTGGTTACAGCCGCCTTCAGTCAGTGGGAGAGGAAGCGGCAGTTGGGGACTGTAGAGCCGCGCCCCAGCGTGGGAGAAATGCGCATGCGGGCTCTGCCCTGTGGGATGATGGGAAATGTAGTTCTTGGCTAGCAGAGGCCAAGTGCTGCCCTGCCTGTCTCTGCTGTGGCTGGATGGGCCACTGACCACCTCCTATCGCAAACCTGTGACGTCACTGCGCGGGGTATGACATCACACTGTGCTCAAAAACCCACCGTGATGCGATGCAATGCCTTGTGAGGCAGTGATGTCACTGGTAGGCAGATGACGTCGCTGGGTGCTCGGTGGCACTGCACAAGCGTGCACCCGACAGAGAGCAGATCCCCAAAGCTGTGCCCCCAGCATGCACAGGCTCAGTGAGACGCATTGACACAGGCTGCTGTCCTGATCACAGATCTGCCGGGGGTGCTCCTGGGACATTACATCCCGCACAGCACAAGTGGCGGGGAGGCAAGCTCCCTATAGCAGCTCCCCACATGCCAGACCACACACCTGGCCAGGTCGGTGCACTCTTTTTCCCCCCCTGACTACCTCTGATGCATAAAGAGGAAGGATGGTGCAGTGGCTCGGACGCTAGCTGAGGACTTGAGAGATCCAGCTTCAATTTCCTGCTCTGCTACAGCCTCTCTGTGTGACCAAGGGCAACTCGCTAGGCCTCTCTGGGCCTCAGTTCCCCATCTGTAAAATGGGATTAATCACGCTCCCCGGCCTCGTAGGGGTGTTGTGGAAATCAATGCGTTAAAAGACTGTGAGGTGCTCAGATGCGATGGTGCCGAAGGTCCCATATGAGAATCTTGGACAGATAATTGGTCTCTACCTTCAGGAGAGCCTATTTGATAACCCGCTGGTCTTTCCTCAAATGGTCAGGAGTCAAACTGGAAAATAAGGAAAAAGTGAGGCTGTTGTTATGGTAGCGGCCAGGAGTCCCATCATGCTGCGCACTATACCAACAGAGACCAAAAAGTGGGTCCCTTCCCCAAAGAGCGTACTCTCTCACCCTCTCAAGCCTTTGAAAGAATTAGTGATGTTGACGCTTTAAGAACCACTGTTAGGTTTCAAAGCAAACGCCCCATTGACACAGAGACACTTCTCAAAGCCCCAGGGCTAGATTCTGACTTGTCTGCCCCTGGGGCAGTCATTAATACTGGGGCCTGCTGGGCGCTATACTACTGTATTGACTTGGGAATGTCTGACACTTACTTTGCAGCTGTATAAAGGACTAAATAAACAAATTCTGGACAGTGGACAATCAAGTTCTCTGCAGCCATTCCTGTATCGTTTCCCTGCTAGGCTCTGTGCTGCTGCCCATCACCCTGACCACCAGCGTCTGACCACATTCCAACGGTTCTTCTCTGCGATCATAACATGAGAACGGAGATCTTGGCGCATGAGATAGCAGCCTCCAGAAACCATACAGGGTGCGTGATCCAGCCCAGTTCCTCACCTGGGAGTGGCAGGTCCTATGTGCCGATGTGCTTTAGCCAGGCCCAGAGGGACCCCTCTCTTGTCATCTCATAGATTTTTGTTTCTGAGCCTGTGCAATCTCCTGCCTGTTGGATGAAACTGACAAAGAAGGAAACCTGTTTCTTAGATTCCCAAGATCCCTGAATTGATGCTTTAGGCCTGGTATTCAGGTAAAAATCTAGCATAGTTACCAAATGCATGCAGCTTGGCTTGTGCTTTCCAAGGGAGGAGATGGCTCAGGGCACTCAAGCAGCAGGTGTGAAACTTCCTGTCATCACAGGTTCAAATCCCTCCTAGGGACAGCTCCAGCCTTCAACTTCAATTGAAGTCAGTTAAATCAGGAGTGACTCCTGTGAAGTCAGTGCAGCTATGCTGGGGTGAGATCTGAATCAGTCTGCATGTCTCGTGGAACACGCCTTTACAAACAGACTTCTGGGTGGATGCCTGAGGGGCGTTCGGGGAAGCGTTTGCCCCAAAGCTGTCGCTGTGCACAATGCACGCGAACCTGGGGGAAGTGGCGCTTGTAGCTCTGTCTCCTTTATCTCCAGAGAAGAATAAGAAACGTCCAAGGAGACAGGGTGGTGCTGTTCCTCCCCGAGAGCAGGGACTGTGACTGAGTTTGGAAATATTAGTTGTCGCAGGGCAGAGGGCGTACCATGCTCCAGCCGGGATTATCTCTGCGCCGCAGGCTGACATTTGCCGCACCGCCCAAGGCCTCTGACATCTGCGGAGGAAGGAAGGAGATAAGCAAAGGTTACTGTTGGTCCTGCTCTCTGGGGCGATGGGAGAATGGGTGATGAGCTGGTGAAGAAGCTCTGAAGGAATGAGATTGGAGATTGGGGTGATGCCCCTGTGGCTGCATACAGAACAGGAGGACTAGTGGCACCTCCGAGACTAACACATTTATTTGAGCATAAGCTTTCGTGGGCTACAGCGTCCGATGAAGTGGGCTGTAGCCCACGAAAGCTTATGCTCAAATACATGTGTTAGTCCCTAAGGTGCCACAAGGACTCCTGTTCTTTATGCAGACACAGACTAACACGGCTGCTACTCTGAAACCTATGGCTGCATGTGTTCCTGCACCGCTGCCTATGGTGCCCCCTGCTGGCAGAGGCTGGGATTGGAGTAGCTATGAGCACCTCACAACCGGCTTTCTTCCAGCTTTCCCTATAGGGAATGGCCCGTCTGCCATCCACAAAGCCTAGGTCCCCATAACGACTCCAGGGATGGAGAGGGCAAAGCTGACAGACAAGACTCCTGGGTCTGTCCCCAGCTCTACTGTCACAGCCAGTCAGCAGAGTCCCAGACCTCTGTGCCTCAGTTTCCCCCCATGATAAAGTGGGGCTAATGATCCTCACAAGGGGTGGGAGAATCCGGTCCAAGGGAGCGGGGCCCTCAGGAGCTTCCAACCTTCCCGGCAGCACCACATGGGCAGCTCTGACCCCAGGCCTTGTTAGCTGTGGGGGTGAGGGGATGACAGAGGGGTTTGAATGGATGATCCATGCACGGAGGAGGTGTGCGTGTGTGTGTGTGTGTGTGTGAGAGAGAGAGAGAGTGCACAGAGAGCTGGCGGGGGCCGCCTCTGACTCACCGCCACCGTCTGTCCCTCCGCCGTGCGGCACGGCGATAACCAGCAAAAGGTTATCAGCATCTCGCTCCCTGGCGGCACGGCACGGCAATAACCAGTAAAAGGTTATCAGCGTCTCGCTCCCTGGCACCCAGGGCTGATGCCCCCCTGCTCCCCCGCGCCCACAGAAAGGTCTCTGTGTGCCACTTGAGCGACTCGGCCAGCAAATTGGGGAGATAGCGCCAGAGCCGATGGCCAAAGGCCACCCTTTGTGCGGTGTCTCCGAGGGGCTCCTCGGCAGGGAGGGGGCGGGATGGTATAAAGGGTGCTGCCGTGGGGATCAGGAGGCAGCTGTGAGCTCTTCTGGCCTTGGCGTCCATCTCGCTGCCCCAAGCAGCCATGCAGAAGCTCCTCCTGGCGCTGGCTTTTGGGATGCTGCTCTCGGAGCCGAGGCTGGGGGCTGAGGGCCGGAACCCACCCTACGGCGTCAAGCTGTGCGGGAGGGAATTTATCCGGGCCGTCATCTTCACCTGTGGGGGCTCCCGCTGGAGACGGGCAGGTGAGAAGGGGGGCTGGGGCAGGGCGTGCATGGCTGCTGGGTACCCAATGGGAGGGGAGTGGGGTCTGCTGGTTGGAATGGGAGTGGGAGCTGAGAATCAGGACTCCTGGGTTCTATTCCTGGCTCTGGGAGAGAAGTGGGGTACGTGAGGGGGGGCGGAATTGGGAGTCAGGACTCCTGGGTTCTATTCTTGGCTCTGCCACTGACTTGCAGCGTGACTTTTTGTCAGCTCACTCCCCTACTCTGTGCCTCAGTTTCCCCATCTGTAAAACCGGGATCAGTGTCCCTACCTTGCCTCCCCGGAGGTGGGGATTGTGAGGCTTAATTCAATGTTGGTGAAGCGCGCTGCGGCTTGGGCACAGTCCAGTGTCTGCTCCCCCCCCAGCACCGCCAAGGTGGGGTGTGGATCGCTGCTCAGTTCTTAGGAGCAGCACAGGGAGCCCGTGTCGCCCAGAAGGGCAGATCTAGGGTCCCACGTTTATTCCCAGAGCAGATTTGCTCCCATGACAAGTTAGAAGCCAACGGCAATTTTTTCCCCTGGGAAATTTGCCGGCGCTGCCTGCCTCATCGCCCACCAGCTGGGGGGATCTGTGATGGGGCGTACGAACCCCGCGTGGCCGGGAACGGGTTACCACGCTGCATTGGCTCAGTCAGCCCTGCCCCGCTGTACCCACAGCGAGCGTCAGCGCTGGAGCTGATCCCCACGGTTTGCTCCTGGAAAGAAGCTGGGCTGAGGCCAGCGAGTGCCTAGAGGTTGCAGCCTGCCAGTGTCTAGTCCTGACCGTGTCTCAGTTTCCCCATCTATAGAATGAGGCTTTGATCTGTTCAGAGAGCAAAGACCTTCAGGGCAGGGACTCTCTCTCCCCTTGTGTCCGTGCAGCACCTGGCACAATGGGGAGGAGCCAGGGTTCTGTGCGGCATTTGGTGTGATGGGGGGCCCTGATCTCAGGGGTGGGGGGTGGTCTGGTGCAGTGGAGACACTGACCTTGTTTGGGGGGAGGGCGCGTTGTTGGGGCGATGCCCACATGATAGGGTGTGGGCCCCTATCTCACTCAGAAAGGGGTGTCTGTCCAGTCACTGTGATGGGGGGCCCCAATCTCACTCAGGAGGGGGGCGTCTGTGAAGTGACTGGTGTGATGGGGAGCGCCGATCTTGGGGAGGGGGTGTCTGTGCCGTGCTCGGCGTGATAAGGCACCTAGGTTTTACTTTTGCGCCCCTAACAATACTGTTTAGGGAGTGACCTATTGGCAGGGTCTCTTGGGTCTTTAGGAGAGAGACTTGCATGTCAGAACGAGAAGACAGAGAGACCAGGATAACGTCAGATGGGAGCACTGTGTGGCCACCTCTGCTGGCTGGAATCAGAACAGCTCGTCTGTGTCATAGGCCCTATACTGCTAACAGCAAGAGGGAGATTTTCCCTTCCACTCAAGCGGAGAGGTCAGTGCTCGGGAGCAGGAGGAACTGAGTTCTAGTCTTGCTGTCGACAGGAAGTTGTGACCTTTTGGGGCCAGGTCCCCGGGTCTTCCTCTTCCGTTCTCTATGCATTAACCCCTTCCCTCCCACTTCCCTGTCTCCTCCTCTGCTGCAGGTGATCTCGATATCCTGAGTGGCCCCCCTGCAGGGGAAGACTCCGCAGAAGCCGCCTCCAGCGATGCCAGCCGCCTGCCCGGGACGTTGCCCCACCAAGACCTCTCCTCCGACTACCACGAGAGGTGGAGAGGCAAACCGGGCCGCGGCCTCGCCGAGGAGAGCTGGCCTCTGGAGCGTGCCGTCCGGGACGTCATGGCGGGGCTGAGCACCTCGTGCTGCAAGTGGGGGTGCAGCAAAAGCGAGATCAGCTCCCTGTGCTAGAGGCAGGGGGTTGGGGCGAGGGGGGGGCGGGGCAGGGTTCGGCGCAGGGCACCGCATGCTGGTACTAGGCCTTCAGCTGGTGACAGGGCAGCTCTGATTGGCACCAGTGGAGGATCTGGCCCTGGGATCGTGGCTGCAAGTAGAAACCCGCCGTTAAGAGCTCTGCAGTTGCTCCGCTCCCTGGGAGCTCTGCCCGAGTGAGGACTGCAGGGAACGGGCCATGGAAATGTATGTGACTTCAGACAGGGGTAAGGTAATGCTGGGGGTGGCCCCCTGGGAGGGGGCAGTGGCGGACTCCAGGGTCCTGGGGCGTATGGAGACTGGAGGCCGAGTTTCGATTTGGACACGAATAAGGAGCCAGATGACGAATCTCGCCCCGCCCTTCCCCTTCCAGTTGTGGTGTCACCCCCACCTTGCCTCTTCTTGCACTTGTATTCGGGGTTAAATAAAAGATCAAAAGAAACAAATGGTGTGAGAGGGACTCTGGGATCAGGGGCACACGCTGGAAAATCGGAGCGACTTAGCAGGGGCTGGACCTTCCCCAGAGCGCCTCCTGCTGGGGCTGGCGTAGCCAGGAGCTCTCCCCCAGCCGGCACATCTGCCCCGTTCCCTATCCCACCCCCTGTTGGGAGAAGCCAGGACTGCAATGGCTGTGAGCTACTCTCCCCCAGCCGGCACATCTGCCCCGTTCCCTGTAACGCCCCCGGCTGGGACTGGAGCGCCTGAGAGCTCTCCATGCATCCAGCGCTCTTGCTCCGTTCTGGTAGTGCCTGCTGCTGGGAGAGGCCGGGCGTGGAGTAGCTGGTGCCCCAGCTATGCCCCGTAGCCCCTCCTGGGGAAGCCCCTGGGCTGAGAATTCCCATCAGGTTCTAGCTCACTTCCTTGTGGGGGTCTGTTTTGTGGCGAATTCCAGGAATGATTCTCCTCTTACTTCCCGCTTCCAGTCCGTCCCTGGCGATCGATGCATAACAGCGAGGGTTGGGCAAGCTTGGTAAACACCACTCGCAAGGGACACTCTCAAAACCCTGCGCGTGTCCTCTGTTTGTCCAGCCCCTAGCACAGCGGGGTCCTGGTCCATGACAGCCGTGCCTAGGCACTATACACTCCATAAATCCCCCACAAGCCAGGTGCCTCATGGCCGGGCTCAGAGAAAAGAGGTTTTCACTTTAGCAAAGGGCTTTTCCAGAGGAGTAGAGACAGCTCCAGGGGCAGGGCAGGGCCCCATGGCTGGTGGGCTGCAGGCTAGATAGTCAGCCTTCAAATCTGTGGGGCTGATCAACCATCACCCTGCATCTGGTGGAGTCAGTTAGCTTAGTGCTAACCACTAGCCCCCAATCCCCTCCCCATGCTGGGGAGAGAACCCAGGAGTCCTGGTGCCCAA